AGCTCCTTTACTCCCAACTTCTGGCAGAGTCCAACTGCACAAGAACCTCGTGCCAAGGTGCCACTTCTGCCAACCTGCCTGTGCCAGAACACCTCCAGAGCAGCCATCCCTGGCCAGGAGCTGGCTGCCACCAGGAGATCCTACAGGTTGTGGAGAGACACATAAACATTAACGACCAAACCCCACCTAGGGATGCTCAAAACACGATGACGACTCTCCACCCACACAGCTTTTCCCGTGTGGTGTGGGTTCAACACAGAAGACACAGCGTGGAGAAGGCATCACCGAGGGGCTGGGACTGTCCAGCTGGTTTGGACAGCCAGGTCTTGTTGTCCCTTGCTGGAAACAAGAAATGGTTGGCTCAGTGTCTTCTTCAGGTGCACAGAAAGATGTCACCCATGGGACAAGTGAGTGGCGCACAGTGGGGCAGTCCTAAAAATAAAAACAACAGCCCCAACCCAAACAAAGTTGCTTAGCTCAACACATCCAGCCTTACACCATCCAAATAACTCTAACCTCACCCCTCATCGCCAATTCCTCCCACTCCTTACACTTCAATGACAATCCCAGGCCTGTTTGCACCAATTTTTGTGATGAAGCGACAGGGCCCCTGGCAGAGCTCAAATCCTTTTTGCTTCTGAGAGCTGGAGAACTACACAATTTTCTACACAGAAGAGGGAAGTCAAGAGTAATCTAAACTGTTAGCCCAAATTATAAGATTATATACCCACTTACATAAACATGTCAAGGTCCAGCTAACATAAATATTTACTTTCAAAGTTCATTTTAGCATCAAGCTCGCTACAGGAGATGCCAAATTTGTGAGAAAGCTGCAGAGATATTAAGGTTGTAAGAGGTCTGTCCATCTGTTCCTTCAAAAAACCTTCCCAAGGCAGTAAAACTTGTGCTGCACAGATTAACTGGGATTGACAGAAGAGAGAAAATTAAATTAGAGGCAGAAAAGAAGAAGGGCAGTAAATTATGTGCAGTTTACATCCCACCAGCCTGAAACATATGCTCCCATAAAGCCAATTTCCACAAGCCTCAGAAGCAGGTATGCCAGATGAAATCCTTCTATTTTATGGCACAAGCAGGACTTTTTGGAAGCTGTTTTACCTGCACAAGCTGCACAAATACAAGCTACTGAAGACCCTCATCTGCCCTATCACCCTTGCTGACACAGCCTTCCCCTCTTCCGAGATTAAACGCTTGACTTAGCACCCGTCAGCAGAGCACAGGTGGCTGCTCAGAGCTTGCTGAACACCAGGAGCCCCTGCCAAGGGAAAACAGCAGGTCTGAGAGGAGTAAATTTAACCCTAGATGCTACATCTGTGGGGCCAGGCTCCAGAACATTCCACCTCAAGGGCCAGGGCAGGAGGCTTTTCCCTACCTGGCCATGTCTCCTCCATCAGGAGGAGGTTTGGGAGCTGTTGCAGGATAGCAAAACCCCATGGCATTAGGGAAAGTAGGCCCCTGAGATCTGCCCCAGCCAGGATCACCCCAGTTCCCCCAAATAACAACTCCAAGAACAAGGGAGGAGGTGCAGGAAACTCCTGGCAGAGGGATGGGCTGAGGATGATCAGATGAAGGTGGAGTGAGGTCCACCCATCACGCCTCTTGTTTTGCTGCTTGGAGAGTTCGTCACTGCTCTACAAAGACACCAACCAGGTCAGCAGGGGGAACTTCAGACCTGCCCAGACCCTCTCAATCCCATTTTCAGATGTTCTGCAGTGATCAGGAGACAGGGACAGGGCAGCGGGGACGCTTCCACACCACCAAGCTCGCCTGTGGCCCTAACAATTTCAGGAAGCATCTTCCAATGCTCTAAACACAGCCCTCCCAAGAGGAGGAAGCAGATGGAGAAAGTTATTTTCCCCCCTTGCATGACCTGCTTTAATAAATGCACACACAGTTCTTTTCTGCCTTTTTGTACTGAGTTAAGCACGGGCACGGAATTTCTGGGAAGTTCGCAGTGTCGGCGATCAAACCTCTTGTTCATGCAAGAGCCCAGGGATTTATGAGTGCCAAGTCCACTCATTAGAGGAGTGGGTTGGTTATTCAGGAACATCCAGCTCCTGCCAACTCAACTCAAGTTGGAAATGCAGGAAAAACGGAAGGTTTGGTGCAGTGATCTTCATCCAACCCACTCCACCAGCCACTGGCTCGTGAGCCTGCTCCCCAAGAAAGAAAAGATACAAATCTTCCTTTTATGCATTTGCTATCAAGATAACCATTGTTCTGCTTAAGGATGAAAGACAGAAGTGGATCTTTCTAACTACTCTCACCAAATTAAAGCTGAAGGAAGCTCCTGATAGCTCAGCTTTACTAATTCAGACTTTCTTAGATGGTTATGGTAATTGTCTCCTGGGTAATTTGTTTAAATTTGTGTGTAAACAAAGGGTTTGTACACATCTACAGCCTCACACAGAGTGTGTCATTTCTGAAAAACATTCCAGCCATAGTTCCCTCTTTTCATTTTCCCCTCAGAGAAAACCAATCCAAGGGCGAATTATGGCATTACCTGCAGCAGAAGCCAGTGCAGCATCACAGGCCTCTGCAAATCAAATGGCCAGTTTTAATATTTCCTAAAGTGGTCCTCAAATGAGAAAAAGCCTTCTGTTTCCCTGCTTCTCTGAATGTCTTTGGGCAGCAGCTCAAGAGGCGTAACTCAGTTTGACTGCACTGGAGGCCACTGGCCACGTGCCCACATGCACCAGCATTACATCTCTGCTGGTCCCTCCACCTCAGAAGAAGTCATTTCACCCAATTCTGCTCTTCATTATCTTATATAGGACTTGTTTTGGGGGTTTTTTCCCACTTTATATGTAAATATCCATCTTCTTGTATCTGTCCACCTTTCTCTTACAGGAAGATTCAGCTAGGACACTTTTTTTCCACTTCCCAAGTGGTTTTTTTGGGATTTTTCAAACATGAAAATGGGAATCAAGCACTTGGAAGCTATAAGCTGATGGTCTTCCCTAGAAAAAGGCAGAGGGAAGAGCAAGCCAAGCCTCCCATGAGTGGGGCAGCTTTGACAGCAGCTCATGCCCAGCCATCCACTGGCAGGTCCAATACTCCTGGTCCTGGTCCGGGTGTATTGGCAAAGCTCATCTCCAAACACACATCATGGACTATCCATCCCCAAACATACATCGTGGACTGTCCGTCCCCAAACACACATCGTGGACTGTCCCTCCCCAAACACACATCGTGGACTGTCCGTCCCCAAACACACATCATGGACTGTCCGTCCCCAAACACACATCGTGAGCTCTCCATCCCCAAACACACATCATGGACTCTCCATCCCATAATCATCTCCCTCACCATGTCCCACCCATGCCCTTCACCTGCCAGTGATCAGTCAGATCGAAACTTTCTGCTGCATTCATGCTCTTGCATTTAAATGCTCCTCACCCTAAAAAACCCAACAACAAAACAACAACGAAGAACCCCAACAAAAACCCTTAAACAAGCCAACTCTGGTGTTTACTTCCCGATTTCCACCTGTAGCAACCTGAAACAAAGCAACAATCACAGTTTTGCTGTATCACATTATTCCCTGCCAACAATACTTTCCAGTGATGCTTGATAAGTCCTGTTTACCCAAACTAGCACAAGTAGAATAACACATGTCAACCAACTGCTTTTTCATTTAGGACCCTTAGCCCAGAGAAGGGGAAGCAAAACCCTTTCTCCATTCAAATAGCACCTACTCATGCCAGGAACGCCTCAAGTTAAGAAAACTTGGGTAAATAAAAGTTTAAAAGTTCTGACTCCTAGGAGATGTTTTACTAGGAATTCGATTTTCTGCTCAAGTAAGTGAGGTAAGTCCAGCTAGTTATGTTCCTACTTATAGTAGTTTCATATATGGGATACCAAGTATTTTTATTTTTTCCAGATCCGAGAAGATGAAGCTTTCTGCACTGGCCCCTATTCTTGTGGGAATATAAAGAGAAAACCATGCCTCCCCTCCTAACGTATTAGTGCCCCCTAATATACACCAGATGATCAATAAACTGCATAAAAATTAAATCAAACTGACAGTCTTTAAAAAATGGGCTCTAAGCAGAAACAATTGTTTTAAAGACTGTGGTGTCTGGAGTATTAAACTCACGTGCTGTTGTGTTATTAATCTCTTTGTTGGAAGCCAGTTGATTTCCCCTGCCCGTGTCTGTCAATTAAACATTCAGCATCGCAGCCACAATGGAAGGGTTGATGTTTTGGAATGCAAAAAGGTTTTTTTGAGATGCGCTGTTGACAGTTCCCCTCCCTGCCACAGCATCTCCAAAAAGCCATCGCATCTCCAAAAAAACCCAGCAGGCAGGCAAACCCAAACCTCTGCCAGGGGCTGCGAGAGCGCTCCGGACTCAGTTTAGCGAGACGGGAGAAAGAGAGGAGCGCTGGCGAAGCCGCCAGCAGAGCGACACGGCAGCCGGAGCGGCCAGAGTTGCTGTTTTCCATTATTACCCAAAACACGAGCCGGGCTGAGCGTAGAGCGCTGCCTCCACCTGGAGCTGGCCCCGGCGCCGCCGAGGCAGCAGCGCCGGGAGCGGGGCCCGCGCCGGGGGCAGCCCCGGGGCGCATCCCCGAGCCCACAGTGCCCCCTGCGCACCGCCGGGCCGCTCCGGGGCCGCTCCGGGGCCGCTCCGGGGCCGCTCCGGGGCCGCGGGGGCAGCCAGGCACCAACAGCAGCGAATCACCCGCACTCAGCGCCCCGGGGTGCGGGGCTGCCGAGCCCGGCTCGCCCCGCGGGGACCCCCGGCCGCCCCCCGCGCTCCCCGGCCCGGCGCGGCCGCTCCCCGGCTCCCCGGCTCCCCCGCTCGCCGCCCGGCCCGGCTCTCCCGGCGGCCCCGCTCCGCGCTTTTGTTTGGGAAGCGGCGCGGCCGGGGCACGGCCGAGCTCTGCCCGCCCGCCGCCCAACTTTCCCAAAAGTTTTTCCCGGGGAGCGGAGGGGGTGCGGGAGCGGGGAGAGGGGGCGCGGAGCCCGCGGTGCTCACCCATGACGAGGCAGAGGCAGTCGAGGCAGATGAGCAGGGCTTTCTTGCTGCTGCTCTTGGCCGGGTTGTTGTTGAGCGCCGGGCTGCCCCCATTCTTGCTCTCCGGCGGGATCGCCTTGTCGTACTTGTAGCTCTGCATTATCGGGGGCGAGCGCCCGGGACGAGCCGTGCCGAGCCGAGCCGGGCCGTGCCGTGCCGGGCCGCAGGGAGCCGCTCGGAGCCGAGCCGAGCCGAGCGGAGCCGAGCCGAGCCGCGCCGCCGCCGGGCTCGCACGCCGTGCGCCGGGGAGGTGCTGCCCGCGCCGCCGGAGCCGCTCCCGGCCTCTCCGGTGGGGCACGGGAGGCGAGAGAGGCAGGCGGGTCTTCCCAAGGAGAGAGGAGGGGAATACAAAACAAAAAAAAAAAATCAAAGTAGCAAAACAAAAAACCAAAACAAGCCCAAAAAAAGAAAAAAAAAAAGCCAACCCCAATCACCGGGAAAGCAGCGAAGGGGCAGCGAGTGAGAAGTTTGCGGGTTGTCCCAAAGGTGGTGGAAAAGTCCTGGAGGAAAAGCCGGGGGGAAGGATTTAAAAAAAAAAAAAAGTGTATATATATATATATATTTTATATTATTTTATATATATATATATTTGTGTTTCTGTGTGTGTATGAAGGTCTCAGTCCGGGAGAAGGTGCGGGGCGATGCTGCCCCGGGGGCAGGTGGGCTCCGCGCTGGGCTCCGCTGCGCTGCGCTGCGCTGGGGGCTCCCGCCGCGCCCGCCCCGGCCGCTCTGGGAGCCACCGGCTCGGTTCTGCACTTTTATTCCGAGAGGCGCTTTCCTCCCCTCAGGAAAGAAAAAAAAAAAAATGGAGAAGAAGAAGAGGGGGGAAGAAAAAAAATCAGTCACTGCCTCGGATGGGATATCCAAGTAAGCACAGCCCCTTTCCTGCATCTGACATTTTACATAGATAATTAGGTCCACATTTTTTTCCTGAGGGAAGTTTAAAAAAAAAAAAAAAAGAAAGAAAGAAAAAAGTTAGGAGCTAAGTTTTCTCTCGCAGACCAGAAGAAGGGTGCCTCTAGCGTTCGTTCGTACAGGAGTGCAGGGGGGAAAGGAAAACAACCAGCCGATCCAAGGCTGGAGGACTCCCGAAAGCTGGGAACGGTGCAAGGGGCAGAAAACTAACAACAAACAACTTTATAAACATTTTTCTCATGTTTTTTTTCTCTCTGCCCTCCGGCTCTGTTCCGTGTGCTGAGGCACGGGAGGGGACATGATGTGTGGGGTACCCACAGACCCTGGCAGACCCCAGCGGGGTGACCCTGGGCTGAATTCCGGCTGTGCCACCCTGCCAGGTGCCACCGCCGAACCGTGGCGGCTTTGCCCTCCCGCAGCAGCAGCACCACCTTCATCAAACGAGCGTAACGAGAGACTTGGGTGAGGGATTGTTGTGTTGGTTAATCGCTCGTTTGGTCTAATTAAAAATCATCAAGGAAGTAAAGGAAAGGTTTCCCAGGAGCCCGAGCTGGCAGGAGGGCAATGCTGTGCTCTGAGCAGGGGTGCAGGAGGTGAGGAGAGAGCTGCTACCCCAGGGAGCTGCTCAGGATGGTGCTTAACCACTTCTCTTCTTTGTTTTGGGGAGAAATGAAGATCTCAGCCTCTCACCTGCGTGCTGGCACACATCCTGCTGCATCCCGGGTGTTTCCCGGGCAGGGAGAGCCCCCAGCAAGGCCACCCTTCCCTGCTGCTCCTCCCGGAGCTGCAGGCTGCAGCCCGAGCCTGGGCAAGGGCAGGTTTTCCAGGAATCTGTTTAGACACATGCACGGGCATACCGAGGCCAGCCTGGCAGGGAGGAAGAAAGTGAAGCGGCTGTTTTCAAATTTTACTTTTATATGTGTGGTGTAAAAAGAAAGGGGAAAACAGACCTTGGACGTTCCCCCAATTCTTTCATTAAGCCTCAGTGATGTGAAATCAGGTGCCACCTCCCACCTTGTTGAGGGGACTCTTCTGCTCATTATCACCCCGTGGCACTGAATACAAAAGCATCACTTTTGGCCCAAAATGGTGCCAATCACCCACCAAGCTGGCTGCGAAGGACACATCTCAAGGTCTCTCTGTCTTTCCCCTGAGCGTGGCAGAGGTGTGGGTGCCTAATTTGGGCTCCTTGGATGCCTGGAGCAAGTGGAAAGAATCTTCACATGGGAATTCTCCCCCAGCTGTGGGCACGCTGCCCAGCCCAGCTCATGTCCACTGTGGGGCCAAGCATCCACCTTCCCCTCGTCCTTCAGAGCCTGGCCCTGCCTAGAGGAGCCCACAGATTCCAGCAGCTGCCTCCATCCTCCCCACATCCCCAAATCTGATGATTCTCTGGGTTAAATTCCATTTTGTGTTCAAAGCAAGGAGAAAAAAACCCCAAAAAACAACAAAAATTGAGACTTATCATTGTAACAGCAAATAAAATTTTAAAAAAGAGGCTTTCTTGTACTTTCAGGGAAATTGAAATTATGGTTTTGTATTTGCATTTCCAAGACCCCTCAGGCTACTTATGTTTGCATTTTCATAACGAAAAGATTGTGCTGTTAATTGATGCAAGCCAGGACACACAAATCTGAATCTTGGACAATTTCTTAAGGGACCAGCAGCCACCACAATTGCCCAGTTCACATTTGACAATGGCTAAGTCAACAATGCCAAAAAGCAGCTTCTGTGCCTTTGTCAATAATATGCAAGAGATTAATTTGTAATAATTGTTTATTCATAAATGGAATTATCAAATACGCCATGCAAGAGTATCCCTCAAGACCTCAGCTTTTCCTTTCAGTCAGACTTGAAATTCTCACTGTGGACTGAGGTTTTGCTTTATATAAATAATTTGAACTAACTGAGTTTGTATCATTTGTGAATTTTCCTCTGCATTTTTGAAGAACAGATTTTCACCACCTTCCCACCCCAGCTGGACTAAACTTCTGGTAAACAAAGAATACGCTGATATAATTTCTGGGAAGATCAAAAATTGTTGTACCACCGGTTCTTTCCCAGATTTATTTCATAACCCAACAATTTGAAAAGAGGAATTGAGTTTTATTCATTCAGTCTCGTCATTTTAAGAGAATCGTCTCTTTAGGGCTATTCCTGGAATGGGTGAAGGGGCATGAACTTGTTGCTGCCCCTTTTACCTTTGTATCAGTGGGACAGGACTGTGTGGAAATCTCTTCGTGACGTGTGAAGAACTTAAAAACTGAGAGGAGGTTTGCACCTTACTCACTCAACATGATCCTGGTAAAAGGGTATCTGCCAAAACAACCCACCCCAAACCAAACTAAAAAACAACGGTAAAAATGTTCTTGTATTTCCTATTTTTTTTCTCCATAGAGGAGGGTGCTCAGGGACAGTAAGGTCTGGTTTGGGACAAGAGGAGCCCAAACCTCTTTCTTGAGAGGTTGTGAGAGCTTGTGTTGCCACCAGGTGCACAGGGCTGGTGTGGGGAGACAGAATGGAAGGGAGAAGGCTCCAGATTCTGCTCTGAGGCTCATGGAAGTAGTTTATCCCACACATTATTTAATGTATAAGAACTATTTGTTGGAGCAAGGAGTGAACCTATAGCCTGTCCCTTTGCTCCTGCCTACCCCATGCTGCTCCCCTTGGCCCAGGACAGCTTTAAGGTGTCCCTACAATGTGTTCCATCAGTGGATGTGGATGTTCCAGCATTCAGCACCAGCTCTGGGGTGCAGAGGCAGCTGGGCAGCAGCACTGCCCTTGGCCAGCACTGTCCTTCTGCTCCTGGGGCTGCTCCTTGGCTGGGCAGGATGTGGCCCTGGTGCTCCTGGCTGCTCCACTGACAAGTGTAGAGTCCTGGAATGGTTTGTGTTGGACAGAACAGTAAAGATCATCTCATTCCCCATGGGCAGGGACACCTTCCACCATCCCAGGTTGCTCCAAACCCCGTCCAACCTGGCCTTGAGCATTTCCAGGGATGGGGCAGCCACAGCTTCTCTGGGCAGCCTGTGCCAGGGCCTCCCCACCCTCATACCTATATTTCTTCCTCATATTTCTTCCTCCTACCTAATGTAACCATGCCCTCTGTCACTTCAAAGCCATTCCCCCTTCTATCACTCCATGTCCTTGTCCAAAGTCCCTCTCCACTTCTCTCGGATCCCCTTTAGGTTCTGGAAGTGGTTCCAAGGTCTCCCTGGAGCCTTATCTTCTCCAGGTTGCAACTTTTCTGGTCTTCCTGATGTGCTGCAAAGACAGATGCTGTTGCAGAGCAGTTTGGTGCCTGCAGTGTGCCCTTTGGGATGCTCTTTTTGATGCACTGCCCTGTGCCATGCCACCCCTTCCCCCTCAGACCAATAGCCAGCTCTTCCTTGGGAACCCACTCTGCTTCTCTGTCACAGGGAGGATTTTGGCAGCAATTCCTGTGGAGAGGGGACACGCAGTGTGGGAGGACCAGGCCCTGCCTATTGTATTTCTTGGAGCTGCTAATGACCGTGGCTACAGCAATCCTAAAATAAGAAAGTGAGCTGATTGTTATCCGTTATCTGAGATTGTTCCCCACCGAGGGGGGAAATCGGAGCACGGGTTACGTGCTGCACATCAGGTGGCCTGGGCTGGAGTCACAAGGCCAAAATGCCAGTAAACTTCTGAAAAGTCCAAAGCTCAACCACCACTACCCTGTTCAGGGGTATTTTTAGCATCACCAGCTGCTGCTGCTGGAGAAAACACCCTCAGAGGGGCTGGGAGTGGGGGCATTGCCCTGCCCAGCCCATGGCAGGAGGAGGTTGAGGGCAGGACACCTGCTGTGTCCCCTGCCCTGTCCCCGTGCTGGACACCATCCCCGGCGCCAGGTTGTCCAACCTGCACAGTCAACATTGCCCTGTTAAATTTTTACAAAGGCTGGAGTTAGACCTGTCATTGCAGAGGAAGGCAAATAAAAGTGAAATCCAAGGGGGGCCCAGTTCTGCCCTCCCCAGTGCAGCTGGGAAGGATCAAGCTTCATAAACTTTCAGGTCATTAAAAAGAATTAGCTGGTAAATGTCATCCTGATGCAGCCTTTGGTGCTGTCCTGGAAGTTGGGGATCCAGGCTGATGCAGGCCAGGAGGGTAAGCCCTCAGGCACGTGCCTCAGTGACCTGAGGGCTGGGACATTCTGTGGTCAGGGACCCGTTCCTGGCATCACAAATCACTCGGGGTC